TAGATAGATAGATAGATAGATAGATAGATAGATAGATAGATAGATAGATAGAAAGATAGATAGATAGATAGATAGATAGATAGATAGATAGATACACAGTTTAACCCAACACTGCAAAACAGCCTTACTACTAACAGGCAGTATAGTTCCTAAAGTTAATCAGTTCATCTTCATCAAAACAAATCTACTTTTTTGCCTTTAAGTGAATGATGTTCTTCAAAATTATGAAAAAAAAAATTGAAATCAGCTTTCAATATCAGCTGGAATTTATCTCATGAAGTTTGTTGTATTTTCTGATTTATTTTTCTAATTCATAAAAGTTATGCAGATTAAATTTAGTAAAAAATAAATAAAGATGGTGGGTCCGATCCTCACACCATTGATTGACAGGAGAAATATACAGTGAATTGTAGTGAATTTTATTAGGTAAATATTGAAACCCAATGAAAAACCTGTTTAAATAATTAGAAAGTAAATGTATAGACAACGATACATCCAACTGCATTACATCAATGTGCACGTTCTTTTTTTGCAGGTTAAATATTATTGATTGAAGATCCAAAAACTAACAAGATATACGTATATTTATATATAAACTGGATGTCTGTGTCTGTGGCCGGTGACCTTTACAGGATTCTCCATGCCCTTCGTGATAGTCAGCTGTGATTCGCTCATGCTTTTTCAAATCAATTATTTATGCTTCCTCGTATTTTTTTTTTATAAGAAACACAAGTGCGTGTGCTGTTTGCTGGTCCAAAAGTGTCCGTGTGACTCTGAAGAAATACAAAATCATTCAATGTCATGACGCAGATGGATGTGTGAAGATGGCAACATTATCGTCATCTGTTCCTGCTGCCGCGGAGCAGTGTTTGCTCTCGAGTCAAAATAGAAGTTAATTGAACGCAGCTCTTCAGAATCGGCTGTTTTTTTCACACACTGTCTCCGTGAACTTTGCACATTTGCTTTGGGAAAATCTGCTGGGAGCCCTTTGGAGGACACCAATGCTGCACATCTCTGTTTGGCAGAACAGCTAATCAGACCTGCTCCAAGTTCAGCTTTGTCTTCACTTCTCTTTTAAAGCAATCAATTCTGTTTTTTTTACTGCCTTCAGCCCCGATGTGATTAAAGATGAGCCTGAATAGATCTGCCGTATTTTCTGCATTTCCAGATTTAACAGATGAAAAAACACTGTAGAATTTAGCTCCAATCCTGGAACCCACGGATAAAACCTACAATCATATACAGTGTCAAGCTGAAATTGCTCGTGCTACCTGAGAATTTGCAGACCTGATCTTGATTTTAGAGGACAGTGCCATCATGTTTTTTGCCATTAGCAAGCAAGCCCTTTCTTACCTATGAGATGATAACTGCTCATAATACTGCTGTGATGTATCCAGGTTTTCAACTGCTCATAATACTGCTGTGATGTATAACAGTCCGGCTCAGGAGCCACAGGTCTTAAAAGCTCTGTTCTAGACCAATGACATGGATTTCTGTTTAGACAGATTCTGAGTTCAAATGAACAAATTTGAAATGACACAGCCTTATTATATTTTAAATATTATTTAGACAGAATTCAACAAACGCACTCAGTTTGATACACGTGCGACCGTGAATGGGTTTTAGGTGGGCTACGACTTCAACGAGTCTTTATTGCCTTTGTGCCTCTGCTCGGAGCTGCCAACCGCTGATTTATTTACTTTCATGACCTCACTGAGGTCTGGGCTGCACTGAAGTCAGCAGAGCGATGTCTGCTCCACGTTTCCAAACTCACTTAACTCTCAGCCACACAGCTTTATGGGCTGATCTTGATTTATGTTTGGGGTTTTGTTTTTCAGTGGACCTAAAATTACTCACTCTCCTCTGGTCTGGCTGGTGAACCTCATTAAAATGTTATTTGGTTGGTGGGAAGAGGCTGGCAGGAGGAAACATTAGCAGTTCCACTTCAGCAGAAGCATGAAATCAAGTCAAAGAGCAATTTGACATGGCACACCACCAGATACGCCGCGTACCATTTCTACAGGCGGAAATCTGCATAAATCTGCCGCTGCAGTGCAGTCAGGACCTGGAGCTTCATGTGATGTACCTGCTTTATATATAGACACAGTGGACGGTGCTGTCAGTGCGTTTCCTCTGTGGCTTGGCTGGGAATGACTGGGACTGTCAACCTACAAGGCAGTGTGTGTGTGTGTGCGTGCGTGTTATAGTCGCTGTATTATTTTCTCTTCTGTTTATAAAACATCTTTACACTTTGGTGCAGGGGGGCACGAGGTGTAAAAACTGTAACAGTGTCAGTGTCGCCAAATGTTTTACAACCGTGGGTGCTGTGAAATGCAACAGTTCAGTTCTTTGTTATATGTTTTATTTCGTTTTTGAAAAGAAAAAAGTGTAACAATATGAATTGCAAGATAAGTTGCAACTGGAGTCAAGAGTTTGACACCTCTGCTTTATAGTATATACATCACACAATAATACTGCAATAGTATGTAATAATACTATGTTTTTATTAGAATATTTTGACTAGTCTTATTTTGACTTTTTTTATCTGTTGCAGGCATCAGTAAGTTTAACTTTTACTGGACACTTACTTTAGGTTCTGGACACTCAGACTTCTACTGTTGGTACGTCTGCCTGTAGCTGATAGGAATGAGTGTGTGTGTGTGTGTGTGAGAGTTTGATGTGTTTCTGAGTGTGAGGGATGGAATTATTGTCAGGCACTCCCTGCCCTGAAGACTGTGTGTTCAGCTTCAGCTTCTTCATTTAAAGTCAAACCAAGCTGACGCACAAACACAGCCCGAAGACACAAACACATACTTCTGCAGTGATATGAATTGGACGGATTATTGGTGGGCAAGTTTCAAAGTTTGTAACATGAGAAGAGAAAGACCTCATTGCTACCCGCTGGTGCCCTGCAGCGGCGTCACTGGCATTTTCACTGAAGAAAACAGGCCTTTTACCAACCTGAGTCAGGAGCGCGGGCCAACAGACGCTAACATAATTATTTAGCTTTAGGAATTCTGGCCCGAAGAGCTGAAGTTGCATGAGATGAAATCTCCGTTGATGGAGCGGGAATGACAAATTGTCTTGAAGTTAATCAAGACATTTTACAAGAAATCTTTTGTATGAAAATGAAGGATTTAAAATAAAATTGTCATTGTCAAATAGCTGAGGTTTAACAACTACTGCACTAAGTAGCACTTTTTCCAAAACACAATAATAACAAGCAGACCTACAATTTATTTACTGTGAATTAATATGAAAATATTTATGTTATGTTTCTGTGAATTAATATGAAAATATTTATGTCTATTGAGTAAATTGTTTCTTAGAGTAGCCAAAAGATTGCTCAAAAAAATAATTAAAGAAAAAAAACTAGAGATGTCCGATGTTAACTTTTTGCCAATATAGCCATGATAATATTTACTTACATATCTGTACAAACCACTGTTAGAGTTTGAGATGAATTTAATGAGCTGCAATGCTGCCAGGAAAACCAATAGCGATTCTTACAGATATTATATGCTACTATCGGGCTGATAATATTGGTCGGCCGATATAATCGAACATCTCTAGTTTTTTACCTATTATTCTGCCTTCATCCTTAACTTTATAAACTTGCTGCCTTTCGTAATTGACCGTAAGTGTGAATGGTCGTTCGTCTTGACATGTGACCATGTGAAGGTCGATGACACTGTCTAGGCTGTCCCCTGTCCTCACCCGTTTAATACTGGGACATATTCCAACCCCTCCTGCGAGGCTCAAAAGGATTAGTAGAGGATGAAGATAAAACTGTCTCTTTTTTTATACCTGCAATTAAACGATCATTCATTCAGTGAAGCATGTAGTTAAAATGCTGCCTTTAATAACATACAATTACCTGTTGATCTAATCTAAATTTATTTTCCACTGCTTCACAGTAGAGAATGGTACCTGAAGGATGCAGCCTGAAGCCAAGACGGTCTGCTTTTATTAGTTGTTTCTTTATTCTCTCTGCCATATGGTAAATATACATAGCAAAAGTCAGTCTGTGTGGCATTAAGAAAAAAGTTTTTCTTAATAGTTTGCGTAGCTAGTTTGATGTGTTTCGGAGGAGTACTGGAGTAGTTGTTGCTTTATTACATCTGAGGTGTAGAGGCGAGTGGGGGGTGTGAGGAGGGTTGGGGGGGGTGGGGGGGGGGGGGGGGGGGGGGGGGGGGGGGGGGGGGAGTCACACTGAGTTCAAGTGTTTTTGTTTTCAGTTTGGAGGAGTTTGTGTTTGAGATCAGGTAGTTAACCTGGTAGTCCCAGAGGGTAACTGCTCGGCTAATCCAGTGATTATTTCACATTAACAATACAAAACAGAGTTAAATTAGTTTTATTGCTGCAGGAGTGTAAATCTAGACAAACAGCCAATTTAAAAATAAATTAAAAAAAACTCCCAGATCAGAGTTTAAACAAGAGTTTATTTATAATTATGTTTGAAGGTGCATTTAGAAACGTTTTTCACAGCAACTTGATCATTTTTGTGACTATATTTTGCTAACCTATAGGAACAAAAATCAGAATTCTTACACGTAGCTTAATTTCAGGTACTTTCCAGTTAATTTATAGATTGTTTTTCTTATTTCTAGTTACATTTTAGCTAACTTTAAGCTACTTGTTGGTTTGCTAATGTTGTTTCTTAGATAATTTGTGGCAAATATTTAGCTGTTTCTTCTACTACTATAATATGTATACCAGGGATGCCCAACCCCTGCTCCACGGATCAGTACCGATCCATATGGCACTGGGCCGCAGTGGGACATGTTAAATAAATGTACTTTATTATATCCATTTTTTTTTTTATTTAAAGATAACTTGGCAGCATTTAAAAAAATATATCATTCTGACTCTGATACTAACAACATAAGGTCTTAAAGATGTTTTATTTTGAAAATGTAACAATCCCTAAACAATCTGCTATTGGTTCTCAGTAACGGTCCTTGGTAGATAAAAGGTTAGGGACCGCTGATGTAAACCGTATTTTAAACATGCCGTCAGATTTGATTTCCTGTTCTGTTCTGATAATAGCACACAGTCGAAATAACATGTTCCACACGGCGAAATACTCTGGAACTGTTTATGATAAAACTAAAATAAATACTGCAAGATATTTTAGGCGTACCGTAGATTGACAGAGACATTTAAAGCCCCTGCCATGGGAATTTCAATGACTGTTCTAAATGTTCAAAAGGGAAATCTTGTCCGGTGCCAACTGCAAATTTCTGACTTTGTGAAAAAAGAATTATTTCACAAAATAGAAGCATTTTGATCATAATTCAACCACACCATGTTTTTTCAAGTCATCTTTATTAGTGTTTACATTATGTACAGTAATAAGTTATATATACAGTTATACTTTGGTCCAAGGAAGATGCTTTTGTGTGTCTTTAACATGATGCACTGTAACATATGTACGAGGTGAGGTAAGTAATCCGTGTTTGGTTCCTGTATATTGTCCTGTCGGCAAAATCATATAACAAACATGTCAGACATTTGCCATGCTTGAAAACAAGGCTCGAGCCATTTCATTTTTAATTCAATCCCGGAACTACATTTTTTACAAAAGTTCGACAAAATAAAATATTTAACACACGTTTAGAATTCGACTGACTGCTTTGAAAAAACAAAACAAAAAGCAAAAACAAAACATTTCTGTGTACTGTGAGCTTTTGATTTTTCTTGACAAGAGGTTTATGGGAAGTAAACGCTGAATACATGCTTGTCAAACACACACAATATGTTAATTTAAGTTACAGGGATCCAGCCCCAGAGAAGGAAAATTAAAATATGACCAAAAAAAAAAGTTGTATAGGAAGAGCTTGGCAGAAGGTGAAGTGTTTGAATCTGTTCAGATCAGTAAGAGGATGCAACGCTGACAACATCGGGCCGTAGATAAAGATCAATCCAAGTCCCCGGAAAAGAGATCAAAGTGAGTCATGGTGCTACATGTTTGAGTTAAATCTTGGAGCGTAACACTGAGTTTTTGAACCAAACCAAAAAAAATCCGGATGCTGACCTGCAACATCTTATCCGGTTAATACCTGATCTGTTATTAATGAAGCTTCGACGACCTTCATGATGCGCTGATCGCAGCCCGTTTTTATTTCCCAACGTGGACGTCCTGCACTGATGCACCCTGTTCTTGTTCATGGTCCCAAATGGTTAGAGGAGAGCTTAAGTCCTGACTGAGCACGAATGGGCCGACCACAGAGGTCTGAACAAGATCAGACGTTATAGGACAACCACAGCTCCGCTTCGACCAAGTCTGGGTGCACTGTTTACGATGTGGAGCCCCCCGGGGGGCAGTTAGTCATGGCATCAATTTTTCTAATGCTGGGTTTTTATAGCTTTTCCACTGGGCTTTCAGTGGTTAAGTGACCTTAAATGCTTAATTAGGTGATGGAAATCATAGGCACTTTGCACCCGCTCTGTAAACCACTACAGTTAGGCCTATTAGGGGCCCAGCAAGCCACAGGCCAAATAATTAGAGCTGGCGGCAGCACTGGACCGCAGCATTGGGGGGTTAAGGGGAAAGTCAGTAGCGGGAGGGCGGTCATGGAGTTTGGAGGAAATGGGACAGAGAGAGAGAAAAATATGGAAAGTTAAATCACATACTCTCGTAGGACGGTGATGCTAATAGTCAAAAGTGTATATCAGTGTTAGCAACACTTTACTGCACTTAAATTTTTATAATTAACTAAAACTGTTTTTCTCCATGGTCGTATTAAAGAAGACTTCAAGCATCTTCAAACACGTAAAACTGTTGTTCAAGGTCATCTAGTTTAGTGTTTGTGATGAAATGAGACCATTTGGTTCAAAATAGATCCTCTGTGATTTATCCTGTGTCCAGCCCCACCCTAACTACTCTGATTTGACCCAAGGTTTGGTTCAAAAACGTGGACATAAATGTGACCGTAACTGGTTTAATGCAACATTATCCAGTTCCTTGCTCCACATATTTAACTCATTTTAAACAGCAAAATAAATCTAGTGTTTGTACAAGCTATCACTTATCTTCATGTCACAAATCCACGCCAGGCCCTGCTGGTGTCCAGACCTCAGTTGTTGGAGAATACTGAGCACCGACTTAATCTGGGGAAAACTCAGCACCATGTGAAGCTCCCACGGCAGGAGCGAGAAGCACAGATGATGTACAATCATCAGGGAAAAATAAAGAGTCGTCCATGCCGTGCTGGAGTTGATCTAAACTGTTCCAGTCTTGAAAGCTGTAGCATTTTTGACCATGTTTATGAAAAATGACTGAATAGATAAAGTCTTTACTGCTTTTACTGTGGAGTTGAACACTGGAAATTGTGTCTCATGAGGAACTCCTCTTTGTTGCATTGCACTTGTGATAGTTTTTTGAGAATAATCCGAGTTGGAGCCATGTTAACAGTGTGTTAGGCTGCATTCACAAACGCCTGAGAGTAATCTGCATAAAACAAGAGGGTTTATGTTTTTAAAAAAACTCCATTCAATGAACTGGTTGAAACATGACTTGAGGGCTGTTTTGCAATTTTAACCCAGACATAAGTGTCTTTTTTGGGTGTTGGTATAAGCTGTGATGACAGCACAGCCAGAGGCTAATCAGGACAGAGCCTCATTCCATACAGGCCATTAGTTTGACATGAGAAGGAGTCTGTTGAGAGGACGTCTCTGGCAGTGCAGTTTGTGAACTTGTTTTGCTGTGAACGTTTGTTCTGTGGCCACAGACAGAAATAAAACCAAGAAGCTTCTGTAGAGTTTGAGGAAGTAGCTCAGTTTTTGTTGTCTTACTCAAACCCTGAATAGTCTAAAAGAGAAACAGTTTCACATTACTATTGCTGGACAGAGAGAAAGGTGAACTTGAGTTCTTCATCTGATGGCGGTGGAACATATCTCATATGTGTGCAGGTGTCCCAGTGAGGACAGCATTAGTCTCTGCATAAAGGTACTCTGTAAGTCTTTGCCGCCTCACGCCTACACGCTGGCGCAGCGTTGGGACGGTGGCAGATACGGCGACGGACAGACCAGCTGGCTGTGAAAACTGCTAATGCCTTGTCGGCCGGTGACCGCGGTGGTGTCGCCGCTGCACAGCACATCCGAGCAGAGTGACTCCACAGCGTCCAGCCTCTCTATCTGTACCAGGCGGGTCAGAAGGTCGGGGATGCTGTAGCCCGCCGTGCTCACCCTCTCAAAGAGCTGCAGGCCGTCGCTCATGCCGCCGATCTCGTCCCGTTTCAGGCCGAAACTCTCAGCCAGGTGCCTCCACGTCTTCACCACGGCCGCCTCGCTGCTGTAGGACGAGCTCAGCATGCGGCTGGTCTTCTCCAGGCAGTCAAAGGGCAGCTCTGTGGGGCTCAGGCCTGGGGAGGGACGGGGATGGTGTTAGGGTGACTGAGGTTATACCAAATGTAAGATTTTCTCATAAACACAATTAACCAGTGAAATGCCACAAAAATATTGGTCTGAACAATAACAGAGACAATCTTACCCTCCGTGATGTTACAGGCTCTGGTGTAAAGATCCAGAATCTTTTTCCTTCGACTCTGCAGCATCTGTTTGTTTAAAACAAATCATCTCTTGTGATTTCCAGATGATTATAAACTGAAAATCTGTTCATAATCATTAATTCTTTCTGCAGTGACTTCTTTAAAGTCTCTTTCCGCCTTACCCCCGGGGTTTTATTGTTGTTATTGATTGCATTCGCGTTGTTGATGTGGTTGGAGCTGGTGATGTGGTTGACGTTGCCGATGTGGTTGGGACTCGTGATGCCGTTGGCCTGGCCGTTCAGGATGGTGGAGGTTCCATTGCAGTTAATGTCGCTCTCCAGAAGCCCCAGCGAGAGCAGGCAGAGGTCGGGCTTGTTGCCGAGGTTGACCAGACACGGGCTGGGGTTGGGTTTATTGCTGTCAGCAGATCCCTGTTTGTCAGACGCGGCCTCCTCATCGCTGTCAATGCTGCGGCTCAACAGCTGCTCGTTTTCTGACGAGGCGTCGTTTTCACTGCAAAGACACGCGCAAACATTCCCAGTTATGACACAAATCAGTGGCAGTTACTCACAAGAAAAATGTTTCTCTTAAAAAAAAAAGCTGCTAAACTCAGCATTCTAGAAGTGCTGTTCTTAAAAAAATCTAAAAATATTTTATGTTGTATTGAGGTTAACCAATCAAAACGTTAATAACAAAAAACTTCGAGTCGACAGGAAAATAGTCTAAAATATATAAATGACTTTGGTCTAAAACACAGCTTAATACTAGCAACAATGCTATAATGAAATGTCATGATGTTTACAAAGCATCTTCAGGAACTTCAAAGTAACTTTGAGCAGCAAAAAAAAAAAAAAGGAGGTTGTTGATAACTGATGATGTTGCCATGGCTGCTGATGTTTCTCAGCCGTTAATGTCAGTGACCAAAACAAACCTGCCTTTTATAACACGATACCCTGTAATATCACTTCATTACCCATCATCTGCCCGCTCTGGGTTTCCTCACAAAAGCATCTGACAGAGAACGCCATTGTTTCACAAACCCGTGCTCAACACACACACACACAAATGCAACTCACACAAATGCACACAATGCCATTGTGTCCTGGTTATCTTACACCCACGCTGGCGCTCGCAGCAGTGAGTTAGCACACGCTCTGGCATCTGCTACACCACACTGCTTATTACTATTCATGCTGAGGTGACTGTCGGTGTGTTCCTGTGTGTATCACACTCTTTTACACTGAAACAGTCGCTCTGTGCTCCACGTACTGTAACGGTCCAGCACAAAGGCTCACTGTAAGCTTTTTTTTGTGTGTCGTGAATTATCACACACAGCAAACGTCCCGCTAACAGAAGGCACTGTGTAAAGCCGCATTGTGTGCACATGGAGGGGTGGGGGGGTGGAGGGTGGGTGAGACGTATGCAGAAACACAGAGGTGAGAGAACCGTCCTCCTTTTGTTGCCTGCCAGGATGTGCTCTCACCTGGTAGGGGTTTTTAGGTGAAGCCTGGAATAAATACCCCTATCTGCTCCAGCAGCTACCCTCTCTGTCCATTAGTGTTTGCTAGGCTCCAGGGCCTGTCTATGCTCACCTCCCTGCCTCCCTCCCTGCCTCCCCCCCTGAGCTCCATCTCTGCGATGCCTGCTTCATTAAATACAAAAGAAAATGTCAACAGCTTTTAACGCGCTTCATACACACAAACCCACACATACATACAGTCGGTAGACGGGGGTGAAAAGCACAACAACTGTGCCAGAAGCAGAGGTGCTAACGCTGCACCGACTTGTTTAATTGTGCTTTAATTATGGTCAAAAGCTGGGAAAAAGATAAAAGCTTTTTTTCACTCTCTCTCTCTGTGATGGAGCATATCTGTGGCGCCACATACACGCACACGCCAGAAAAGCAGTGCACGGTAACCATATACACTGAACATACAGGAGTGACACGACGAAAAATTCATGGTTAATCGCTTTCAATCCTGTTATCACCGCGTTACTCCTCCTGCTGCTACACAGATGAAACGTAAACAGTGATTTAAACTTGTAACCAGTCGCTGTTGTTTTGTTTTTTATATTTATTTAAATGCATTAAATTATATTTCTATAAATAAAAAAAACGCCAAGCCTTTTAGATTTTATTATAATATAATATTATTTCATTAATATTCTGACCCTATTGGACAAAAAAATTATATTATTTTACTATGTGCAAGTTAGCCTTTTAGATTTTATTATAATATAATATCATTTCACTAATATTCTAAACCTATTGGACAAAAAAATTATATTATGATTTTACTGTGTAAAAGTTAATATTAGCTGACGTTATATTTTTGTGTGTCTCACCTTTTCACTGTCTTCGGAGGAGGCACTTTCAGTTTGTCGAAGTCGTCCTTCTCCGAGTAGATCACCACGTTGTCTGAGAAAACAAAAACACACAAAAGTTCAAATGTTTTCTTTCCGCACAGACACAGATATTTTTAAACGACAAAGGAAATTCCTTCTAAAAAAAAAAAAAGAACCCTCTTACTTTTCTCTAACTAAAACGGTATTCCAGTACAGATTTAGTCAGAGTAAATAATAATCCAGTAACTCCGTCTGACATGTTGGACCTTAATGTTGACAGACAGAGTAATGAATAAACACTGAAGCAGAACAAATGCAGTTTGAACTTCATTAGTCCCTCATCTCCAGGACTAAACCCAGTTTATTGTGGAGTGATGGCTCCAGTAGCGCTTCGAGCGGTTGGCTGCAGCGTCTCTCACTCACCCGTCATCAAAAAAATACATTCACGCAGCGCAGCACTCACCAATAACAACTCCTCATTGACTAACAATAAAGGACTTTATTGATTTTTTTGTGTCTAGCTATAACGTTACTAGTGGCTTTGCCAAAACGTGTAAAGTTTGCGGCTACAGATAGAGCGAGCGGGTGTATTTTCATCCACGCCACGTGTGATTGGTTAGTCATTGAGTCTGAACGCAAAACAGAACACAGCATCATTGTCAGCAAAAGTGACGCCTGCAGCAACATATGGCTTCAACTCTGGAAGCCTCACATTCCAGTGTGTTCATCATCCGGCACACACATGCACACACACGCACTCCTCAGCAATGTACCTGCAGAGGGCGCAAATGAACCAGTGCATAAACGTTATCAAGCGGCAGCAAAAGAAGTCAGAAATGAAGTGCTTTCCACTTGGTAAAATCTCTCTTGAACAAAAAGAAATTACTTACTGACTCCAAGATAAAATCTCTCACATGAGTATAATTGAAGGGCAATTTAAAATGTTCACTTGAGCTGGAGGCAAATTGTTAAATAATAATATATGCCTCTAGCTCCTGTAATAAAGTGTATTAAAAAAAAAAAATCAATGATCCGGCCGTCAGTTGAATCATTATGTCTGACCACAGAGAACATAGTTTTCCCTGTAAATGCACGTGGATTAAACTAAATCAAAATGAACAGGGTTTGGCTGCAGGAGTAGGAAAAATGATACCTGTTGCTGTAATAACTGCTGTGTTCATGCCTCAACTGTCACTGCAATCATTTTGGAGTAATTTCACAGTCGTTAGAATAAGTAGAAATTACAGTCTGCCATGTTGCTGTAATTACACAGTGTTCTGTGCTGCTGTTCACTGGTGCGTCTGTTGGTGAGTCCAGACTTTTTTTTTTTTTCACCCATCTTTAGAGGAGTGAAGTTAATAGAAATCGGTGGAACTGACTCTGTTTAGACTTTTTTTTTTTTAAAGTGTCGTGACTTAGCATGTCTCACCTGGGACGTCTTTCTTGTCGTCCTGTTTGTTGGTCTGAGCCTCCACAGCCTTCACCACCTGACCGGGGCAGCACGCTGCAGACAGACACACACAGTAAAAGACCGTCAAGAAAAAAACGCCTCACTCTAACGTGAGCGTGCGACTCGGTGAGCACGTGTGCGTCTCTCACCCTGACCACTGGGCTTGGCCTTCAGGATGTAAAACATGATGATGAGGACGATGGCGATGGCCATGATGAAAATGGTGGACATGGCGATGATGAGAGCCGTTGCAAGGTGACTCTGTCCGTTGACTCCTGCAGCAAGGGATCATGGGTAGAGGTTAAAATGTGTTGTTTTGTTTGTGTGTGTGTGGAGACGTAGGCGACGAGACGTTTCCATGGTTTTACCTTTATCTGGGTGAGGTAAGACGGTGGTGCTGCCGGGGTCAATCACTGGTTTCTCTTTAGTTTTGCTGTTTTGCATACCTGTAACACACACATACACAGAGATATGGACATTAATGTTATTGTTCCTCATCATTTCTACTGTTTTCTCATACAAACATTCATCAGAAAACACTGAAAAAAAAGGAAAATATACATTTTAAAGACAAACTCATGGTAAGTTAGTTCTTTGAATGACTGTCAACGCTGCAGTCGGCCAGTTGATCAGTGAGTTCAACAGTTGAAACAGTTGCAGTTGTTTCTGCTTTGGTTTCATATTTTATGGACTGTTTCTTTCCCACAGTTTCCCCCTTGAACTCCATTGTTTCTCAGACTGTTCTCCACCAGCTCTGTGTCCAGATTTCTTTCATTTTACTGCCCGCACACCCTCCTCCCCCTCTGTGTCACTGTGACAGCATTATTCATCAATTGTTGTTTTGTTTTTTTCTCTCCCTCCTAATAGAGCTGTAAAACTGCTGGCAGCTTATAAATCACTTCTGGTAATCAGTCGTTTATTTCCCTGTGTTGATATATGCTACACCTTTTTGGCATGTGCCCTGCTGCTTCCAGTGGTCACAGAGACTCATGTCATCACACACACACACACACACACAGTGGTGCCCTGTGGCTGCAGACAGTAACCCAGGTTATGTGTTTACACTCCACGGATGAGGATATGAGTCTGAACTGGAATTCAGTTTAGCGTCTTGCGGTTTCACCTTAATCACGTCTGGAAGACGAACACGTAGAGTGAAATGATAACACTGCAGGGCAATCTGGATCGTGGGCTCCAAACAAACGGAGAGGAGCCGAATTACAGAACAACGCCGACCAAAAAAAAAAAAAACACGTTTGTTTGAGAAGAGTGATACGTCTTCAAGTGGAGATGAATCGAAAGGTTAACCTGCGATAAACACGTCTGTCACAGCGGTGGGAAAACGAATAGCGTTGAAGTCGGCGGTGTTTACTGTGCTGGTTCAAAGTTGGAGCAGCGAGTATCGAGTGTTTACTGTGCAGGTTCAAAGTTGGCGAGTATCGCGAGTGCAGTGACCACTGGGGTAAAACTGTAACATGGCCGCCCTGGCAGTGAAGTGGAAGTCAAAAGGTGACGGCAGGATTAGAGCGATGACTACATGTAAGAGCGTCTGACTGCCAGAGAGTAGCATCAGCGGCACAAGCACTAACACGTTAATCATCTGTCTTTCTCATACCCACTGAAGTTTTAATTATCACACACACAGAGGTAGGCAGGAGCCAGGGTAATTTACAGATTACACTGCGAGTGTCAGCCTGCCTTTAACCTCGGCGAGGAGAACTCCCAGCTTTCAGCTGCTTTTATTTTACAGTCGGGGAGGATCGGATCTAAGGGGCTTTAATTAAAATGCATCTGATTTAAACAGACTGTGAGATCTTAGCTTTTCTACAGACTACTGAACTGGACTGTTTCAGAAAACCATACTGCAATAACATCCTGCTCGGCTCTTGATAAGCTAGTATGCGCTGATTTAACACAACGGTTCATCGGGGACGATGTAAGTTGTTAGTGGTTATCGCCACGAGGGATGGAACAGACAGTGAGTGGAAATCAAAATAATCTCGAGGTCTGGGGCTCGGGGGAATGTCTTTCAGGGCAAAAACACAGTGATGAATCGTGGAAACCTCGCTCAGATCTGCATGCAATGTTGTTGTGACAGACGAATTCACATGCAACGTAGACTAGGCTTGTCTTGACAGTTATGACCTTGCAACATGACAAGTATAAATCTGAAACATCAAACTGTTTGATGTTTCACATAAAAAAATAGATATTTTAGAATAAATCACTTTTGTTTATTATAAAGATTGCGTAATGCTACAGGGCAAAAAGCTAATACAAATATGAGTTTCTTATTAAATCACTCAATTAAGCACTTTATTATTTAAAAAATTAAAATCATAAAAAGTAATTATTTTTACAGACTAAGGAGTGGATGAGATTTAAACAAATATTACACTCAGTCACCACAGGATGTGCTACATAAATGTTCAAACTGTCCGCCACATGGTGGCAGAGTGGTTTGCTGGTTTGGTTAAATTCCCACCTGTGTAGGTTTTCTTACTGTTTTCTCCCACAATCCAACAGGATTAGACATCATACAGACCAAAGGTGTGAATGTGAGTGTAAATGCTTGTTTGTCTGTGTATGTGGACCTATAATTGACTGCCAGGATGTCACCCCCCCAACCTTCCCCCCCACCCCACCACCACCTGATGACAGGGATCGACTTTAGCTCCTTCTTCCCACCCTGACGAGGATTAAGTGATGAAAAAATGAAATGAAAGACACAAACGTTGTTCAAAGTTTGTCCAAACCAACAGCACCTTCCCAGACTAAACTTAAAGCTACGTAAATATTTATGCGTAGACTGAATGTGTCATCATCTTATATTCTCCTTCCACGTGTTTATGGCATGGTTTTACCTGACAGACTGTGAAAAACAATTATGTTGCTGGTGAAAAGCAAGTGTTCATATCAGATACAGACACACACAAACACTTGCCCTAACCCCCCCCCCCCCCCCCCCCCCCGCATGCCCGGGCTGCTATTTGGGGTTTCAATCTTTCATAACACACTCATTAAACATGGCAAAATAACAACAGCATTAATTTCAGGACTCCTAAATTATGCTCAGAGGAGATTGTAGTAAGTAAGTAATTACAGGGGGCAATAAATAATCTTCCCCCAGCAGTAAAAATCAGCCAGGGGTCGAAAACACTGTTCTGATACTTTTGGACCACTTTGAAAGTGGAAGTGTGATCTGTTTGTCATCTGTTTGGACAAAAACATGAAGTTAGGAATCAGCTCTGTGAGGAAATGGTTTATTTTTTTTAGACATGTTTTGACATTTCTTGAATAACTGTAAGTTTAAACAGAGGTTAACCAGGACAAAAATGAATAATTTGCATTTAACCTCGTGTCTTTAGAATGTACTTTTATCTCAGATATCATTTTTTTCAAATTTGCCGTGGCATTAAAAACTTAAGAACAGGCCTGAAAGAGGAAAAATATTGATGAAAGGTGGTTGGGAAACTGAAAAGCTGGGACTGTGTCTGTGTCTGTAATTTTATCATCCACTGATGTGGTCGCAGCAACAGCTGGCACCATAATCTGCCCGCTCACACACAAACACACACACACAAACACACACACACACACACACAGGTAGGATAATCAGTATGGCTGTGATGTTAGAAGCTGACAAACACCCTGAAGCCGGGGAATCAGAGAAGGACGGGACGGGACGGGGGGACTCCGACTGTCTTTACTAAATCCTGCTGACGGGCAGGGACCAAAAAGAAACCAAAAATGAAACACCTCATCTCTAAATGGGACTTTTAGGTTCAGTCCTTTCTACATTTCAACAGTGAGACTGTTGTGTTGATAAATGTGAAAAATAATGGGGGATTTCATGGTTAAATTGAGAATAAATAGAGGATTTTATGGATAAATGTTGCAGGAAAAAAAAAGACACTAAAGGAGAATTCCAGGTAAAAAGACGTGGCTCTTACATTCTTTGGTGTTGCGTGGTGCGTTCTGGCAGGAGTGACAAACCATCCCATACAGGTTTCTGGGTCTGTTCTCCAACATGTAGTACCTGGAGGAGACAGGGAGAACAGGAATAAGAATATAAAAAGGAACAGAGGAGAGGCAGAAGTCACGGTTAACTCCACAGGTGTGTCCTACAGGGACCCTCCCTGCCTTGGAGACATACTTTACATTGACAGTGCCTTGGACAAGGTGAAAATTCTTTGTCATTGAAAAAAAATGCGCAGAATTGAGGCCCTGAAGGCACAAAACGTTAGCTTGGTACAGAAACGACCCTGAGTCTGGAGCGTCTGACTGTCTGTCAGGAGAAGAGAAACGCTGAGGCCCCGGCCCAGGAATGACTGGCAGTGGTGTTTAATCATTTAGGCTTAAGAACAGAATATCACATAAACCAGTACAGTATAGCGTGGGTCGAACACACAGCCTACAGGTCCTGCACGTACTTGTATATGATTAAACACGTCAGCTATGAAAAACCACAGGTGTTTGCTCAGAGCTTTCTATGCATTTCTTTGTGGACACACTGTGTTCTGATGAATTCACATCTGGTCTGACGGGTGCCAGAGATGATCAGGTGACCCTGATAGAACATCACAGATCGCAAATCAGTTCCAGCACCGTCTTTAGGTGAGGAGTTCGTACATATCTGTGGTTTGTGTATTTTTCTAGGGCAGATGTAAAGTTTTGTGACGTTGTTGTTTGAGTTTTTGAAGCTTGATGATACAACAGGGGTCAAAGTCATGTGATCTCAGCATGTGGTCAGAGGATTAGATTTCAACGTGATACCGTAATACACCACATATAGGTGCAATGTTATCGTCTTTTCCTCTCAGGGACGGCCATTTTGGCAAAAACAACATCATGTTACTATCTTTTTCACTGATGAGCAAAGAGGAAAAACAACATAGTGTTAATATATTTAATTGTATAAAATGTATAGAAACCTAATATACCATAACTTTAATATCAATGATAAATATATCAGGAGTCGTCACTTTAGATTCTTATTTTCCTTTTCTGAACAGGTTTGAGTTTCAATTCTCTTAAATCCATTCAGACGTGCAGCAAACACGCATGGACACTGACAACCACCACCGAGTGTAACACCCACATTGACTACAGCCCAGCACAGTGTATAGAACACACACACACACTCGGTCATTACCAAACCCAGTGTTCTGGAGCATTCTGAGCTCATTAACAGTCGATTAATCACAAGCAAAAACATCCTGTGAAGGAAGAGCCGGAGCCAAAAATACTAGAAGGCATCAGGACAGCATCCAGGCTGATGACAGGGTGAGGAGCATTCAGCATTACCTCCCCCTCCCCCCCCTCCCCCCAACCTCGGTTTTATCCACTTGCCCCAAATCATGAATCTTATTTTAATCATGCCAGTTCCTGAGCAAATTACATATTTCACACATTTAATCATATTAATCAGAAGAAATATGGTTTGACAAGAAATACAGTTAATCTCCGAGTGATGTCAGCCTTAGAGAGACCAGCAGGGACATATGCTGGGAAGAGCACCGTGGAACAGGAGGAGGAGGAGCAGAGGAAGGTCTGGGACCATTTAAACTGTTCCTTATTGACTTAATATATTTAAGTGACAGGGGCTGCATCCACAGCTGTCATGTGCAGGGAGTTGAGAATTTAGTGCGTGTTGGCACACAGTGTGAGTATTGTACCGACGGCAGCCGGGTGGTCCGTTCATGACACATGTCAGCTCATGCTACTTAAAAGCAAAAGCAAAAGCAAAATCCGATTCATCTCACAGTCTCATTGTAGTGTATACGACACCAAGCGTGTCCAAAGTCTGGCCTGGAGGCCCAATTGTGGCACTTTAATGGGTATTTGGTGTCCCGCTATTTTTTATTTTTTTTTGTTAAATTACCACCATCAGGGTAAGAAAGTAGTTTTCCCCGAAGGTTTAAATCCTTGTGAAATATGTTCCTGCGCTTTTTTGGACTTTTCAATGACAATTTAATCCTATTTTGTTACTGTCCTTTGTTCATTCATTCACTCCCCCCCCCCCCCCCCCCCCCCCCCCCCCTCCCCTCCGGGGGGGGGGGGGGGGGAGGGGGCACCTGGAGCTTAGCCCACCAAGTCATTTGGCAAGGGTTGAGTACACACTGGACAGTTGACCAGTCTTTCACCCTCACGTTATTTAATGAAGGACAGGGAGTACACACACAACCTACCCACACACTGAAGGGCCAGAGCGTCGCCCGCCCTCCCCCCGGGT